ATGTAATATAAGCCTATGTGATCAATCACTATTATTCGGTACTTATGTAAATAATCAGGCCAAATCTTATGAGATCAGACTTACTTTGCAAACAAATTAGATTTACTTTGATAATCTTTATCAAAGTAAATGTGGGTGAATGTAGAGAGAGGTATGGTTGTTATTTTTTAATGGAAAACTATAATGCATCCTTGTGGGTTCTGTCTGACACATTTGCCAACCGTTACCAAATCCTAAATTCTTCTGGCTACAACTCTCCAAATTAATGTTTCCAATTTTTCTCCCTCCTATCTTGGAATCATGAGAGCCCGAGCTGCCCTTTTTTCCCAAAGTTTTACAAGCTGAAGCTGAATGACTCAACATAAACGTAAAAGAAAAATGACCATAAGAGATCACGTATGGGCAACCTTCATGCTGCCCAGCGTATAGACCACTCAGAAAGCTCAACAGAACACGAGATGCCACCGTGAGAGACATTCTAACTGCAAACCAGGAAAACTCTTCAGGTGGCCACTGCCATCCCCACTCCACCATCTAAAGATGCCTCAAGTTCAAGATTTCATTCTGTTGATGAAATCTGTAGATCTCTGAAAAATTACATTCAAAAATAAATTTCTATGACTGTATAACAGAAGAAAAATTCTGCTTCAATATTTTTTCTTAGAAAAAAGTTTTCAAAAATTATAAAAGTGGGACTGAAGATAAACAATACAAAAGTGTCTTAAGTAAAAAAAGGAAAGTCATCCACTCTCCCAGGGATAACACAGCTAGTAGTTTAATGTCTATCCTCTCAGACCCTTTTCCATACACATAAAAATCAAAAGAAAATCAAACTACAACTCTTTGCCTACGTGTTTTTACAAAACTGAATTATATTCCAGTGTAGTGTAATTTATTTTTCCACTCAATATTATATAATGAACATTCTTCTATGTTAGTACGTAATAGTAAATGCAAACACTTATGTGCTTACTATGCTTACTTAGGGTTTAAGTATTAACTCATTTAATTCTCACAAGATCCCCGTAGGAAATAACTACAATTATATCCACTTTCTAGATGAATTTTAATAACCTGCTAATGGTCACAGCTAATAAATGGTGCAGTTAGGATTTGAACCCCGAAAGTCGGCTGCATGGTACCTGTGCTCAATGATACACTCAGCTACTTCTCAGAAGTAAATATAAGTACCCCTCAACCTGTTAGTAAGTGCAGAGTACCTCACAGCATAAATATACTAAAATTTTAACTACTGCCCTACCAAGGGACATTTAGGACACTTTCTTGTTATTTATAAATGTTAATGACATTTATTTGTAATGATGCTAAAATGAACAACCTTATAGATTTGTTCTTGTACTCTTGTATCAAAATTTCTGTAAGATCAAGTCCTAAAAATGAAATGACTATGAAAACAAGTGCACTTTAAATTTTGATAGGCAGTGCTAATCAATGTACTTCCAGAACACTGTCTCTGTTGTACCAATTTACAGTCCCAATGACAGAGCACAGAACTGATTGATTTTTAAGTTATCAAATATTTTTGATTCACAAAGAGAAGCCTGTTTTGAGATTTTAGTTAACACTGAAGTAAAACAGACTGGTTATTCACAATTATCCTCTGATTTGATAATTAGCTGACACAAAACGAATGTAGACTTAGCAGCTATTTAGTGGATTCTTCATCTTGTTATGAAACCAACTACGGGTAAGATATTTCCCTGACATGATACTGTTTACTTATGTATAAAATGTGGGAATTAGACTAGCTGGCCTTTAAGATTTAAAACTCCCAATGCTGTAATTAAGAGGTGACTTAAAGTTATTACAAGCCTATAATTATAATACTAGTATAACAGGTCAGGGTCTTAAAGCATCTATTTTCTTTAAATTACAAGACCTATTGCCAGAACACCTAGGCCAATCATTAAAATAGTCAATAAAGTTTTCAGGATCCACCTGTGGCTTATTCTCAGTGGCTTTTTAATCCCAGGCTGTCATTCTCCTTCTACAAAGCAAATTTGAGTGTACCTCTGGAGTATGTTATTAAAAAGAGTTGAGGCGGGCCTAGGAACCATTAACTGATGTGTTTTTGTTTTTTTGTTTTTCAAATATTATGCCAAGATCACTCTTTAGTCAATTTATTCAACCAATATTTATTGACTGTTTTACTATATGCTAGGCACTGGGTGCACAGTAGTTAATAGAGGATCTCTATCATCACGGAACTTACAGACTAGCTGAGAATGGCAAATGATCACCCAAAATAACCACGAGAAAATATAAAGTTACACTTGTAATAACAACGAACAAAAACATATTAGTGCAGAAAAAAACTATGCAATCGTTTGACTCATCAGTTTTTTTGGTATATCTGTGATAACTAGAAATTGTTTGACATAGGGGGAAAAGTAAATAAAGAAAATTATTTTGGGAGCGCCCTTCTATTGGGTTATCGGAAAAGTCAAGACGTATTTTTTCTGTTTTTCATTGCAAAAATGCGTCATGACTTTTTCCGACAACCCAACAGTTGCTAGACGGGATACTACCGATTCGTGAATCACTTAATAAAGCCACTTAGCTCTTCAAAAGAAGGAGAAAATTATTTCACAACTTGCCCCACATAGCAAAAATAAAAAGCATAAGTGTAGATGGCCAGTTAACTTTTTAAATAATCTGCTGTCTCTACAATAAGAGCACCAAGGTGTTACTCCTTTTAGTTCTGCTACTGCAGGTGGCTTGAATATTCCTTTCACATGCATAACTGAGAGTATACGTGTATAAGATTTGAAGCACCAAAGATGACAAAACCATGGGTATCCAAACAAAATGAGAGACAACAAATTCACTACAATTGTTACGAACATTTTTCAAGCTAAAAGTACATATAGAAGTAAAGCACCCCATTATCATAATTCATGGCTTGTTAAAAATTTCAAAATGCTATAAAAATACTAATGTTTTTGAAGAACTGAAAATCATCAGCATCAGGAGCAAGTGGCATGTCAAAAGGAACAAAAATATTTTTTTAGATTTTATAAAACCAAATTCCAGAAGTATCTATATTAATATTCAATTTAAGATAAAACTAATTCTAGAATGTCAGACTTATTGTGATCATTTCACATTATATATAAGTATCGAATCATTATGTTGTACACCTGAAACTAATGTATGTCAATTATATCTCAATAAAAAAAATAAAAACTATTCTCAGTCATCTGCAGAAATAAGAGCAGTGTTCACATAAATAAATGAACTTCCTTGTGTGTCAATTTCCACAACTGCAAAATAAGGATGATATCTGCCACACTTACTTCATAAAATTGCTATGAAGATTAAATAAAATAATGTATGTGGAAGCGCACCAAAAAATGATGTCAGTTATTTCAGACAGCTGCTTCTTTTTTGCTCCCACTAAAACTCAGAGCAATTTAACAAATAATAAAGTTGGTTAGATAGGAACTTCTTTCTTCTGTCCTTGATATGGTTAAAGTGTTATAAAATGGGCAAAAGATTGGCAATCAGAAGCACCAGAAAAAATTTCAAAACTTCCTAATTCCTAAATTGATTACCCCATTGTTCACGTATGAATGCTCTTATGTAACACTACATGCTAAGTAATCTCAGAGAATCAGAAATTCTTTCACATATGTACAAAATTGTTTACATATTACAACTCACTATCATTATTACAGTCCTGCTACTGACTATAAAAAGATGAGATAGGCAAGTATCTATCAACGTATACAATGTATTCTAGCTTGATGTTTATTTTCTGACTAAAGTATCTTCAATTCAATGCAATGAGGGTTCAATGGTTCATATTTACTTTATTACATTGGCGTTTGTCAATTTAGCACACCAAAACAAATTATTACACGCCCGCCCATGGGTTTGACGCAACTTCTACCATAGGTCTAACAATCAATTCTCCAATGTCACGATCTCGTGTTATTAGCAGCACACTGCCTTATTTAAAGACAATATTTTAAACTAATACATTTTTTTAAAAGGGCAGCAGCTTTCAATGTTTTATCATTGCTTCTACAAACCTTTTTCAGGTTCTTACAACCTCTGTCTGCCTAAGATAGCCTTTCCTTTAAAACCCCTTAAAATGCAGGGCAGGAGGAGGGATCTTTAACCTGGCAACATAACCATTAACGACTTTTCCAAATTCAAAACAAGGATCACCATCAAAACAAAACAATCAGGTGGAGTACATGGATACTGATAACTATTCCTGACAACCTGTTTTTTCCCAGATGAAGAATTTGCTATTACACTAAAGCCACACTAAAATCTATACGTATGTGCAGCTTCCTATCTGAAAACTAAAAATCCAGCCAAATTCCAACCCATATTTGTAACGTTAGCTAAATATTATTTAGCGTCTTGGGCTACGTTTAAAGAGACGGCGGGGGATAGGGGAGGGAGAGGGGTGGAATGACAACTTTCAAAGCGCAAAGCTTTTCAAATCTCCCCCCCTAAATCATTTTAATAAATCGGTGGCCTGCGCTCAGTAGCTGCTAGACTGAAGCCGAAGATCAAAGTTTTTCCTATACTTGAGAATGTTTATCCCTACCAAAAAGGAACAGAAACTAGTCATCCTTGCCACTGGAGCCAGTTCCCCGGAATTTCCCCAAATATACCCGATCTCGAAATGAAGAGAGGCACTTCGTAGACCAAAGGTGAGAGGCAGCTTACATCTTTTGCAGAAGAGGGTGGGGAGCGGGGGGGGGGGCTGGCAGGCACTGGCAGGTAAGGAAGCAAATCCCGTCTTCGGCAGGCACGGGTGGGACTTAAAACCCAAATCTCAGCGTGACCAGCCCCGCAAAGCCTCAGGACCCACGGAGGTTCGCCGAGGGGGATGCCAGGCTGGGCCAGAGCCCCCCGGCGCCCCGCCTCCCTCGCTGCCACCGGGGACCCGGGACCGCGAACAGAAGCAGCAGAGGCTGAGCGAGCGTCCGCGGTCCCAGCCAGGTCCTCCCGCAGCTCACCTGAGAGTGTCGCCTCCGCCCTCGGCTCCCACGGTGCATCCCGCGGGGCCTGGCGGAGGGTGCAGTGACGCCGCCCCTACCGGCCCCAGGGCTGCCCGGCCTGGCCTCCCCGCTCCGGGGACGCACCGGGTGCCCGCTTCGTACCGGCTCCCCGGAGCCGCGGGTCTGCAGAGACGGAAGGAGAGGCGGAAAGGCGGCCTCCCCTCCCCCACAGCAAGCCCCTGAGCTGCGGCTCTCTGCAGTTCCCGCTGGCGCAGCTCCGGCCCCGCTCCCCCGCCCGGGAGTCACTTCGGCAGCGGCGGCCCAGTCGCCATTACAGCCCAACAACTGACACGGAGGAGGAGCGGCGCCGGCAGCAGTGGCGGCGGCGGCGGCGCGAGGCAGGGCGGGAGCAGTAGGGGCCCGGGGAAACCTCGCGAGAACTGTCCCGAGACGGTGCCACAGGAATGCAACCTTCGGCTAGGGCCATGTTGAGTGTGTCCAGAAGGTGAAGCGACATAAAATGAGGAGCGGAGCCTCGAGGGCGCCATGTTTGGTGTGGCCAAGGTTGAGCCTTGCAGGGCTAGGGCGGAGCCAAAGTAGGTCCGCAGCGGAGACCTCCCCCCGCCCTCTTTCCCCTGCTTCTAATTGGGCCTTCTGGCTGCGCCTTTCACCCTCGGCCGAAAAAACAAGCTGGGGCGTTGGCAGAGATGAACTCGAAGTCTCGGAATTGCAGCTTCTCAAGAGTTTACGATGTTTCAGCAACTGTGCAAATAAATCTTCTTTCCCCAGTCGGCTTCGGAGTAATTGCAGCTCTGCGGCTGCTGCAGTTATCGACTGCTGTCAACTGTGGCCGTTTTATTCGCAAGGGTTGCACTTCTGTTCAGCAAGCGTTCTAGTGGCTTTAAGACTCCAGAGCAAGTAAAACGGAGTTTCCTCTCGTTAGGAGCTGGCATTGATAGAACTGTGCTTTGTGAATCTCTCTGTGATCAGCGTATCTCCTAATATCTTTATCCTCTTTCCCCAATCTCCGCATGGTGAATTCTATCACCTGTCGAGACTTAGCTCAAATGACAGCTCTTCTGCAAACCGTGCCACCTTCCGCTAGGTGTTCACTGCGCACAAGCTCCCCACCCATCACTTTCTTCCACCTTCTGAAGTCCAATAGCTATTTACCCAGAGACTGTTTCTCATTTGTAAGTCTTGTGAGGATTTTTAAGTATCTTTTCTATATATATACCCACAACGGGGCCTAGCATAGTAACTAGGACATTGCAGGTGCTCAATAAATGCTTGTTGAGAAGATCAAATCAATAAACGCAGAAGGCAGTTAACTGCCCCCTCTTTGGTCAGGGCCTATAGCTTTGCCTGAATAGGGGACATGTGGACATACAAAAATCCTGCACAAAAATATGTACTGTATCTCCAGGAAGATATGCTAGAGGCAAGGACAGGAAATGTGGGTATCCCAATGGTGCAAGTGGTAGCAAGAAATGCAACATAAAGAATGATTTAGGTATTCCCCAACCTTTCTATGCAAAGCAGTGGGGATAGATGTTTTTCATGTTATTTTACTGAATTTATACAACCACCTTTTCAAGTATTCTACTCACTTTTTTAAAAACAGGAAATGAGTTCTGAAAAGCTAAGTACTTTGCCCAGTCAGTATTCTACCATCACTAAACGGCTGATATAAGAGCTGAGGTGTCCCTTACTCCAAAGCTTGTTTATACTTTTCCACCTCCGTGCTACCTACCTCTTGGGCAACAGAGAAAACTCCAAAAGTTCTTGTCACTATGTAGGGAGCAATGTTACCTGCATATCAACCGATGCACAATTTCCACTTCTTATGTTTTGTGCTGATTCCTGCCCTCTCCTTCACCGCCTACATATCAACCTCTCTCCTTTTCAACATCCCATAACTTTTATTGTCTATACCCTACAGATTAGCTCATGGGCATATTAAGTTTTATATTATTTGCTCACTGTTTCATGAGAATAATTAATTCTGGAACAAGATTGGAAGCTTAATGAGAAAAGTTTTGTCACCATTCCCAGTAGTTTCCACAGTACTAGGCACATAATAGGTGTTAAATAAGGTCCCTTACCCGCACCCACCCACACACACACACACACACACACACACACTTCTTAGTAGACACCAAGATTGGATTTTCTTCACTTTATAGTCTTTATTGATTACTATGGCTTGGACACCCAGCTTTCTTTGTATAACTGGATCTTGGCCCCAAACTTCAAACTAAATTCTCCAAGTGTCTGTTACACCCACCTCCACATAGATTCAGAAGTCACCAGCACCTCCAGCTCCCAAATTATATCCCACATGTGAATGAAATCATATGGTTCTCAACTTTTTCCGTCTGACTTATTTCACTTAGCATGATATTCTCAAGATCCATCTATGTTGTTGCAAATGGCAGTATTTCATCTTTTTCTTATGGCTGAGTGATATTCCATTGTATAATATATGTACCACATCTTCTTTATCTAATTATCTATTGAAGGACACTTCCGTTGTTGCCATGTTTTGGCCACCGTAAATAATGCAGTGAATATAGGTGTACGTATATCTTTACAAATAAATGTTTTCAAGTTTTTCAGGTAGATACTGAGAAGAGGGATTGCTGGGTCATATGGTAACTCTACTCTTAATTTTTTGAGGCACAGTCATACTGTTTCCCATCATGGCTGTACCAGTTTACATTCCCACCAGCAGCCACCACTATTCTTCCAATTCAGGCTCTCATTGCTACTGCCCAAATTATTGCAGTTGTCTTCCCAGGTTCGGGGTGAGTTTTGTCCCTGCTCTCCTCTGCCTGACAACAAAAATTCCTCACCTCTGTCATCAAGAACTTTCTCAATATGGCACCGCCTAGCTTTCTATCTTCCTGAAGTAAGGCAGCACAAGAAAACAGAAAGGGCAGGGGTGTGGTGGTGTCAGGAAGACTTCAATTCAAATCTTGGCTCCGTCATTTACTTGCCCCTATGACCCCTCAGAAACCTCCATTTTATTGTCTATAAATCAAGGAAATGATATCTACCCTTATAGGGCTGTCTTAAAAATTAGAAATAACAACTGACAGAAAACTGGCATATAAAAGATAGAAATCAACAGTGGTGTTTTTTGTTGTTGTTTTTTTTTAGCTGAGCCATCCTGCCACCTGTTGGCAGTTCAGTGGCTGCTCAGCTCGGGCTAGGACTCGAACTGCTGTTGCTCAGAGCTCACACTCTTGAGTGAGCTCTTAACCAACTGAGCCACTCAGCCAGCCCTCGACTGTGATTATTAATACTACCCTACCTTGATGCTAATTTGAGCCAAACTGGATCTCAGACACGGCCTACTCATTCCTGCCTCTAGAATTGCGTTCCCTAACCCAAACCACATATCCTCTGGCTCACAATTTCTGCCACACTCGTTAAGTACAAGCTCACAGACTATCTACCACAGGAAAAATTCAATCACCGGTCATGCTTTACACGTACTTTCCACCCCTGGACGCCACAATGCTGTGTGCCTCCCTTAGGGCTGTATGTACTACAATACTTCTGCATTTATCTCCCACTTCCTTGTTTCTTAGACTGTAAAGTCCTTTATCTCCTTAAGAGTGGATTATGAACATCAACTCTGGAGTCTAAAAGGCCTGGATGGAATCAAATAACTTTAGTTAAGATACTTAACCTCTTTGTGCCTCAGTTTCCACATCTGTACAGTAGAAATTACAATAGAACCTACTCCATAGGGTTTTGTGAGGATTAAAAGAACACAGGTAAAGGAAATAGCAAGGTCCTTGGCACATAGTAGGTGCTCAAACATGTTAGTTATTTTTACTATTTTTAAAATAAATTAAATGGGTACCTTGCATATACTGGGCACTCACTACTTCTTTTTTTTTTTTAAGATTTTATTGGGGAACTGGGGGAGGGGAACAGTGTTGGGGAATTCGGGAAGGGGACCAGCCAAATTGTTGTTCTTCAACCTTTGTTGTGGAGGGTGCCAGTTGCCATCTGGCTTCCTGTTGGCAGCTCGTGGCCTCTAACCTCAAGGTGCTGTGTTCAATCTTAGTTGTGGGTGGGCATAGCCACCATCCCATGCGGGAGTCGAACCAGCAGCCTTGTTGTTAAGAGCGTGTACTCTATCCACTGAGCCATCGGGGCTGCAGCTCAGTTCAAGGTGCCAAGTTCAGTCTTAGTTGAGGGTGGGCATAGCCCACCATCGAACAGACAATCTTGTTACACCAGCTGAGCCATCCTGCCACCTGTTGGCAGCTCAGCGCAGCGTCACTGCCCATGTGGGAATCGAATCAGTGGCCCTGTTGCTCAGAGCTCGCGCTCTTAAGGCAACTCTTAACCAACTGAGCCACTCAGCCAGCCCTCACTATTTCTTTAATTGAAATGCATGTTTGTTGAATTTAATTAAATTTTGGGTGAATAGCTCCATGTTTTCTCTCCCGAGAATGTGAAATTTGACATTGCTCTCTAGACATAACAAATTGAGAAATGGAGAGATATAGCTATGGTGATGTAATGATATCACTCACCATTTGAGGTAAATTGAATAAAATTATGTATCAGGATTGGTTAAAGACATTTTTATTGAAATGTCAAGCCTAAATGCCAAATCTGATCTATAATCCTGTCTACCACCTTTTTAGTAATAAATTCAACCATTTAGGCTGCAAATCTAACAAACTATGCAATTCTAGCAAACTATGGAAACTCCAAATTTAGGGATGAGTTTTCTGGTTACTTTCTTTTTTTAGATTCAGTCTTTTGGCATAATCTTGAAATTTTCTAGGGCATTTTGTGTTCTGATATGCAGAATTATGGAAAAACTAAAATTTATCAATAAGAACTTTCTTCAACAAGAAAGTAGAGACATTTATCTTTATATAAATATTTTTGTATGTGTGTGTGTGTGTGTGTGAGAGAGAGAGAGAGAGAGAGAGAGAGAGAGAGAGAGAGAGAGAGAGAGAGAGAGAGAGTGTGTGTGTGTGAGCATACAAGCCAAGGAAATATTAGTCAGAGAAATCTCTCTGACAAAAGGAGAATAGAAGTTTGTATGAAGGAAGCCTTTAACTGTATTTGACTGTGATGGGATATTAAGTTGGAATTTTTGAGTGAGAGCCAATGACAAACTGATAGCAGCAACCAGCATAGGGGAGGCCAACAGGTTGGAGACCCAGGGAAGAGTCAATGTTGTAGCTTGAGTCCAAAGGCAGTCTGCTAGCAGAATTCCCACTTTGTGGAATTTCAGTCTAGTTCTCTTAAGGCCTTCAACTGATTGGATGAGGCCCACCCATATGGCAGGTAATCTGTTTTACTCAAAGTCTACTGATCTAATGTTAATCTCTAAAAAACACCTTTAAAG